CTTGTCATGTTCTCATAACAGACTCTCTGCACATCAGCAACATTGTGAGGCCCAGAGAAATGGAATCTTGGAAGAAATCTAGTATAAATAAACTGAGAGAGAAAATGTCGACGCAAGGCATGACATCAAATCTTAAAGTCGGAAGTAAAAGCATTACTTCGCCTCTCAACAGATTAGTTTTTTTCAGGCCGGAGGACCAGCTTCCAACGTCTCTCCCATAAAGATCCGCTCAACCATCGTAATATTCCCCTCGAAATCCAGCGGGGTTGAGATGGATCATTTCCCAATATCTGCTTTGACTTTGACTTGAACGCGCAAAGTTCATCACAAGAGAAAGATGATTGCTTGATGAAGGTCTCAAAATTCCCCTCGAGAGCCATCGGAGCGTAAACGATAGAATCTTTGGAACTCTTCGACTTTAGAAGCGAAGCAAAGTTAGTCAAAAACTAGAAGAATTGCCAAGTCGACATTGTATCACAGTAAATTAGGTTAAGCACCAACGAGTAAACCGGTAAGTAGCCCCACAAGAAAGACTCGAAGAGCTAAACACATCCTTTTCTTGGAAAAAATGGGTTCTTTTAGCGGAAGAGGTAAAGGGTTATTACAGAGTTTAGACGAGAGAATGGTTTACTTTGGCAGAGGAGGTAAAGGGTTTCTAACGGGTTTAGAAGTTTTCTTTGGCAGAGGCAAGGGTTCATAAGGTTATAGGGTTTAGACGAGAGAGAGCTGGAGCTATTTCGTGCTTTCAAATTTGAGTTATAAAGGTTCTAATTGTTTTTGACATATATTTAAAAATTTAAATTATTCAGAATATCTAAATAACTCTTATTTTTATTATTCAATCAATTTTATATTTTATTTAAATCAAATATAGGATACTTTTTACATTTAGTGTCATGAAATAATAACTAATATTTTAATTAATAAATATTTACTCTTAACTATGAATAAAACCCTTACTCTCAATTAAACATATCCTCACAATAAAAGAATGAAACCTTACTCTCATCTATCAATACAAAAATAAAAACCCTACTCTTAATCTTCCTAATTTCTTCAATCCTTCATTGCATCCTCAATTTTCTCGAAGTCTGAATCCTCACTGCCACGGTCCTGTTGTTCATCAGATTTATCCTCTGCTGTCTTAAGCTCCTGTCCATGGCCTGCAACTTCCTTCAACATAGTGTCCCATTCTGATAAGGTATCGTAGAACCATTTAGAAAACCCCTTTAGGACGTTCTGCAAATTCCTTTAACATAGTGTCCAATTTTGAGACGACAGCTATAAACCATTTATGAAACTTTCTGGTCATCGCAGACATCACTTTCAACCCCTCATGTTCGACCATAGCTTCCTCTTTCTTCAGTGTTTTCCCATCCTTACTAGGTTCCTAAAGTTCTATTCCAGAAAGCCTAATTCATTATTAGGCTCTCAACATAGTTTTGCACCGTTCTTGTTATGTTGTCATGGGAGAGTCCCTGTACATAATCAAGATCAGATAAAGAGGATAAAAACAGACAAAAGAAAAAAACATTAATTTAAAATAATACTCAATTACCTGTGTGCCCATTTTGTAACAAGATACCGGAATAAAAAAGAAGTGAGCTTTTTCGGGGTCGCTAGTCACAAACCCAGCTTCTTTCATGTTATTAAAGAAATACCCTTCAGTGGTATATTTCCCCTAGCCGACGAAACCCTCATCTAGATTATAATATGTATTACGATCTCCGGGGTAGACAAAAATCTTGAAATGAGTTTCCATTTCTGCATATTCGACTTTAAATCTCTCCAAAGAACGAACAATTGAAGCATTTGGCTAACAACGGCAACGCAAAGTTAATCAAAAAATAAAAACAAAAAAAAATCCAAGAAAGCGATAAAAGAGAACTTACCTCGATTGGACCTTCGGCGACGAAATCAAAGATAACAACGACGGAAGCGAAGAATGCGGTAAGCAGAGCGCATACAACAATTAATACGATCCACTGCTGATTAGTCATTTCCTGAGGTAATTTTCTTGAGAGAGGGAAAGAGTCGAAAGAGAGTGAAAGAGAGTGAAAGAATCGAGAGAGGGAAAGAGTGGAAAGGGCGGGAACAAGCGGTTTGGTAGGGGATCTTAACGGTTGAATAAAATAGGCTAAACGACAGCGTTTAGCTTGTAAAGAAACTTCAATAAAACGATTAAACTAGCAACCGTTTTACCAGCGTGAACTCACAAACTTGGGTCGTGCCTATTCCAGAACCAACAATTCTACTTCAGGTATATGACAACCTATTAGACTTAAAAAAAAATCTTACTCCACAGTCATTTTCCTCTTAACAGTTTTAGTATGGTAGTGTATATGGTAAGCATCATTAAAATATGTCACATCCATATTAATGCTATTAGCTTTAACCATAAAATTAGATACGATTAAAAAAAATTAAATTAAAATAATTCTCAAAATTAATTAATTAATTAAATTATTTTAATTTTAAATACATAAATTAAATTAAAAAATCTAAATATAAAGACTTGATGAATATTTTAATCATTTAATTTTGATATAAAAAGAGAGAGAAAAGAGGAAAGAAGAAGGCCTCATTGGGCTCCATTAGATTGACAGAATAATTTTTTTTTGCTCAAACCAAGTGGGACGTGTTTGTTTCCTCTTATTATTACACCACATCAAGTGACAGTAAAATTATAAGCACTTCCGTTTTCTTGTTTGACTTGGCCATGATATCAACCAAATACAAAGGTAAGGAAATGTATCATAATGATCAATTACTCCAAAAAAATAAATAACATTTTTTTTCACCAAAACTGCATCTCCCGTTAGCTATTTCTGGCCATAACAAAGAATTGTATAACATCTACTACAAGCCTAGTTTGACTTAGGCATTCTATTTGAAGTCGAGTTATCGCTACTGACTATTCCAAATCTATCTTTTCCACCCATATCGCCATTCCGCCTCTGGCTACCATTTAACTTTGAGCCAGGAAAGTTCTGAGTAGCTCCATTTCCTCCTATGCCACGATTTCTTAGAGATGCATACCTGTTTCCCTCGTTGCTCCCATGTACCTCTGCTCCTATACCTTGCTTGCCAGATGAATCTGCTATTGGAGTGCTAAATATCCCAAAGCTAGGACCTGGAGTACCTGGAACACCAGAATGAGACGGTCGTTGCTTGGGCAAGTCATTAGTTTGAGGACTCAAGTTTCCAAACAGAGAAGCGTCATTCCCAACTTGCTCTGTTTCTCCCACTGAAGATGAGGCATTCATGTTTTGAGGTGGTTGCTGTCGTTGATACGAGAACCGAGGTTCTGACCTACCTGAGTCTCTGGTATTCTGGCCCATATGACCCATTGATCTAGCAGGTGGAAACTGATTCCTTGGCTCACTTTTTCTGCATCGATTCCCAGTCCCGAGGGATGCTTCTGGATGAGAGTATTCAGTGGAGTTAGCTACTGGCTTGGGATGCAAAAACTTCGATGCAAAATCATTTCGTGAGGAGGGAACTGTTTGTTGAGTAGCATGTATTCCCTTACTCGTAGAATTTGATGAGAAGCCTCCATTAAGATTAAATAATTTGTCAAAATCATCACCAGATTCAGAGACCAACCAAGCAGTCTTCTTGTCCTCAAAATTTTTACCCTGCATTTGCATTGGTGAAGATGTAGGCAGGTCATCTTCATCTGAAAGTATCTCATTTTCAGACTCTGAGATGGATTCAATGGAATCATCTTCAGGCACCATGGGCTTAGGTTCGGCCTTGGTATCCTCTACAACCTTTGATGTTTTTCCACCACCTTTCTTCAATGGGCCAAATTTGACATGCCTGACTATAACATATGCCTGTTTTCTCTCCACCCTTGGCCCACTTACCACAACAGATACATCTTGGATCTGCATAATAAGGTTCAGAAAAAAGGGGTTGGGTTAGGGGGAAGAGGCGACAGATACAAGGAATCAAAAGTTCACATCAGACACTAGAAGGAAAAAATGCAGAAATGTGAGATACCAAGTCAGTGAGACGAGACAATAGTCCTCCCAAGTCCTCGTCTTCGTCCTCCTTACCCTTGCCCATGGCCATACACTATTAGACAACCACAGAAGACAGTTATTAATATTCATCAGAACCATGATAACTAATCTGAATATCACCAATTTAGAGACAATCAGGCAAACATGCCACAATTATTTTGCCCTACCACTTTCAGAATTATTTTTGAATCCTGGCTAAATTTTTTTTTTCTTTTTTTTAAGTCAAAGTACACAGTATTTGGCACATAAGGCAAACATCATCACCATATATATAAAGAAAAAACATAGAAAACAAGGGAATTGAAAATACAAGAGATCTGCTAGGATCAAAACTTATCTCTTCTGAAAAAAAAAAATTTGGTAGATACCACTGTATCATCATACAACAGCATAAAATAGGAAGCAGATAGAAACACTAAATCAGAAGAGTCTACCAGAATCAGGGGATAAAATAAAATAAAAGTGGCTACAAAGCTCAATTACTGCCTAATCATTAATCTTGCACCACAAAATTACACTTACAAACTAGGAAAAACATACTTTAATTAAATCATTAATCCCTCAAAGGATTGGAAGTAAGTACCTTCACTCGATAACCACGTTCCATTAATCTTATAACACTATCTGCCTTCATTTTAATGTCTTTTGCTTCCTGCAGAAGAAGAAGAAGAAATTTTGTCATGGTTCCCATCTCTGCTAGGAGTCTGATTTATTAATACTAGGAACCCCAACAAAATTTGAACAAGGAGGGAATAAGTCATCCACTGAACCATTCAAAAAATATCAATAACAAGAAAATGCCATCTAGGTCATGCCATTATCTATTCCTCTGTAAAATTATGAATCTATGGATTACTGGCTCAGGGTATAACAAATTGACAAGGAAAATGCAATGGACAATCTTTTTTCAATGCAAATGCACTTTATTCAAGGAGTAATTTCATTGCAGTTTACATGTCTAGTTACCCTCCCAAATCTTTACATGATACTTGCAGTACATTTCATAAGGTTGGGCCCTTAAGGCTCATGTACCTTTCAGCCAAGTATGGATTAATATAGAGAAGTCTACACATGCTCAAAACCCGAGCCACAGATTCAAAATATCAGCCTAAATTTGAGTATCTGGCATTAAGCAGTTCAGAAAGAGCCACAGATGAATAGTTTAAAATTTTTCATAAATGCTCTTAGTATCTGTGACTATGTTGTCCAGCCTTAAAACATTTTTTATTTCTTTTATCTTTAGTACTATTGCTGATTGGATGTTTTGCATGATGGTTTCAGGATGTATCAATATTGAATGGATGATAAGAAGAAGATACAAATTTCTTAAAGAAAGAACTTACTATTTTCCCAGTGAATCGAATCTCTTTGCATTCTCCTTTCTTTAATGCCTTTCCTGACTACAGAAAAACAAAATTATCAAGCTCAAGAACAGGGCATAGATAATGTTGTTTGAAAAACAGGCAGGTCCACCATGCATGGGCAAACACACAGAGACACACATAGAGACAACAATAGTTAACTTCAAGTATGATCGTGGCTCATATCAATTAAGCAATAATAATAATTGTTCAACACATCAAATATATTATGACACTTCCTGAAAGTGTCACATAATTAACTGATATGTTAGACAAAATCAATGCCAAACAAGTTCATTAGGAGACCATGGGTCTACTTGTTTGCTTGGTTTATTATCTTAATTCTTGCCAGTAGGCAAAAACATTGCACAGCAATAGTGCAACTGCTATTTACTAAATAAGCTCCAGTCTCTACAAATTACAGGGTGCAAAGGCCATTTTGTTTATGCTCTTATTCTCTGGCCCCTGGTCTAACAGGACCCGTTGCTCCAAGAAACTAGGTATCTAATCTTGGAGGCAGATCTTACTTTAGACAAAATAATAGAACCTAAAGCAAGGTTACATATTCAAGTCATGCACTCTCTTAAAGAATATTTTTTATTTCATCTTGAGAGAAATGAAGACAAATACAGGAATTATCATGCAACCTACCTTGCTTTTAGCACGATCCTTTTCCATTACTCGTCGCTTGTATCTTTCCTGATTGTAGTCCATCAGTTTACAAACAGGGGGATTAGCACTTTTTTGAACCTGCATCAGTTACACAACTTCTATTAGATCCCATAGGAGATAAAACTGGGCATAAAGGTTATTCTTCTTAAAAACTTTCAAACAGTGGCCAGATCATCAAAGAAGTTACCTCATAGCATGATGAAATAAAAGAAAATGGAGAGAAAGCTCCAATACCAAATGGCAAATCACATTAAAATTAATCATCTATAAACAAAGAGAAATTGTAACTTGTGACAAAAAAGATGTGACATCCATTTTTCCAAAAAAAGTAAAAGCATGTTAGCTATGATTATAGAAGTCCTCACTACTTTCAGCAGCTAAAAATTACCGATAAATAAATGAATGGAACATATCCGATGGAAGAAACCTAAAGAAATGGGTTTTTTCTTTTTACAAATACACACACACACACACACACACATATAAAATGTAGAACAGCAGGAACCAGGGAAAGTAAAAAGAGTAGTAGTCAGTTAGAGTAACCTAACCACTCAATTGAAATCATATTTACCTCAACTAAATCAAGATCAAGAACCTTTGCACGTCTCAGTGCTTCATGAATTGCGATGATCTCGTGACCTGCACATATGCATAAATCATAAATTGATTTATTTCTAAAAGCAAAGGACTACCATTCCATTTAAGATAATCCAACGCGACCTATAAAATAACTGTTATCACAATCAATAATAGAAACCTTCCACTCTTCTCTCTCATTTTAACTTCAGTTCAGTAGTCCTAAATTCTAATCCTAAGTGAGTGCTCCTCGCAAGTTCACATCCCTATAACCTCAAAACCGGCATATGTGAAAAGGTCCTTTATTTTGCTCGATGGGAAGAAAGGCAGCGTCACAAACCTTCCTCTGTCACCAATCTAATAACATCAGCTTTGATTTGCTCATTCAAACGCTTCTCAAACTTGCTCGGCTCTTCGTTCTTATGATAGTTTCCCTGAAAAAAACCAATACGCGAAATCAATCATTCATCCTTCCTTAGCACCACAAACTTCCCATATCCATTACTCAAAATTCAACAAACTATATACAAATTGCAATCAGAACCCAAGTATCCTTTTAATCCAACCAAAACCAAAACCAAAACTCATTCAGAAATAAACAATAGATCCCCATCAACTAAATTTTAACTAAAATTGATGTAATTTGCAAAGTTACCTGAACAGGGGCAGCAAAAAATCTGACATTACCGTAAAAATAAGATGGTCTCCTGTAAATACTGCTAACGGGTTTCTCTAAAACAGATGTTCTTATCGGATCAATAGAAGATGCACAAGGAGCTTGAACGTAAAATCTCCTGTATTGATTTGATATGAGCTGAAGCCTAGATTGATTGATTCTACACCAAAACGCCATGTTTTTAGCTCAATGTAGCAAAAGGTGGCATTCTTTGGGAGCAATCAGGTAGGGTTTGCGCAGAGAGAGAGAGAGCAAAACCCTAGTTAAACTAGTTTTCTGATTCGGGGCAAAAAATTTTTATGTCTGGTCTGCCAATGTAGCAGGTTCCCAGGTTTCAGTTGCATACTTGCCAGATAACAAACTCTCGTCTGCCGTTTTGGACTAACTGCTCCGACCCAATCAAGCCCAATTGTCTATGAAATTTTGATGGGCCTTCTGCCCAATTAGGGTTTCAATTTGATAATCTTTGGGCCACTTATAAGGGTTCCATGGGCTTGGCCGTTTCAAAAGTCCAGGCTTTGTAGACGTAATTAATTGAGCCGGAGACTTGCATCTCATTTTGCTTTGAAATTATATTTTAATGATTTATACACATAGCGTGTATTACTTAGATTGTAAATATTAATCATAGTAGTGAAGTTTAACATTTACGTTTTATATTTCGTTAAACTATGTAATTAGTTTTTGTACTATGATAAAGTGGTGGATTTAATTTATGTATAATAATTTATAAAAATTGAATCTCTATATTTTTTAAAATTGATAATATCAATCTAATTGTTAATATTGTTAAAATTTTTTTTATTATTTATGTTGACATGACATTGAAAATGGTGATGTGTTAATGATTATGTGGTATTTTTTATTTATTTCACAACACTTTTTTCATTATCTTAAATCTTAAATTATGAAACACAAAAATAAATTTGTTTTTTGTTTCACAACATTCTCTCCTTAAATAGTATTTTTAATTTTTTTTAATTTTATTTAAAACTATTAACTTATATTGGATAATTCCACATCAACACTTATAAAATCCATGTCGTTGTTTAGTCACATTATGTCAGTATTATTATTACATCATTCATAAAATGCCACAATATCATATTAAATGTCCCATAGCAAGAAAATATCATGTCAACATAACCAAAGTACGTGTCATCATAGATAATAAAAAAATTTTAACACGTTGAACTAATATTGTCAATTTTGAAAAATCTAAAACTCAATTTTTATAAATTACTATACAAAGACTAAATTCATCACTTTAATAAAGTATAGTGATTAATTTCATAATTTGACTTTTATATTTTGATTGTGTAACAATAACACAACTAACCTCTATTATGCTTAACATTTAACTTCTCACAAATTTTCATTGTAACCCATCTTGTTTAGTTTGATATAATTCGATGATTAACGATAAAATATAATTTGAATAAAGATTTTAAATCTAAATCATAATAGTTTTTTTAATTTATAAAAACGTAGTAACTACGTAAATATCAAAATCAAGAATGGAACTTGATGTCAATTGAGATCGTTGTCAGTAATTTTTTTATTATTGCTAGTCAATTTTCACGTGTATAAAAAAATTTTTTACAATATGTTTTAATTGTTAGATCGGTGATATCGTTATCAATGGTTTCTAATCTTGAAGAAAATAAAATAACACATTGATTTATTTTTCTCTTTGAATTTTTATATTCATTCCCATCAAAAGTCCTAACAAGAGAAAGATTCAAATTTTATCAAAAGGAAACAAGAAAACAATTATATTTAATGAACAAGTGAAACACGGGACGCAATCAAGAGTATAACGATAAATCCATATTTTCATTTAATATGCCAAGCCTTTGAGTTTTGAATTATTATAATTAATAAAGTTTTGTCAAAAGAAAATTTTAATACAAAATTCAGTTCGAAAGTGGCAAATGCTTTGATACAATAAATATATTTTAATAACCATATGTTAGTCGAGCATTATATGCATTATTTAAATCCATGCAAAAAAGTTCGTGCTCTTTTTATTTATTTTGGGATTTGATTCGTATGTTCTTCATTATAAATTTTCATATAAGGATCAAAGGTCAGCAAACAACCAAGAAAATAATCCCCTTTTTTTATATATATATATATTTTTGTCCAACTTTGCTTCTTTGCCTACTTTGTTTGATTCGTTGACAGGATAAAGCTTAAGATTTAATTAAATTTAATTGCCCATGAAGCATTCCCCAGATGGAAACTGAAATCCAATATGCCATCAGAAAAATAATAAATTAATGTCATCAACATTAATTAATTCTATCTTGCATGACCACGAGGAATTGAATCCGCGCAATCGATGAATGGATTTGAATTTTTGATTTCAATACGTGCGATTAAAGAAAAGAAAAGATTGAAAAAGAGTGGAACGAAAATTTAGAATAGGATGGGACAAACTTGATGAATAAAGAGATTTTTGCTTCTTCTTTTTTATTCGAAAAAGAAACAGTCCGGAACTTATTAATCATACATCTATTGTTAAATCAAAGTTTTGATAGAAATAAAGGGGTTTAATAGGAAAAAATAAATGTTATAGTAGTGGGAAGGAAAGTTTGAACCATTGAAGCACGAAGCAGACAGGGGAAAAAGCAAGAAAATGATGCATATGATTCCTTATTGAATGTGGTTCAGAATGTGGATAAGATTCGGTTAGTTTAACCCAAATTCAGATGCGGAACAGGAACATAACTATCCAAGGGAGGTACCTAAATAGTCAAGTCAAGAATAAAGATTCCAAGCATCAGACTCTGTGTGTAATTATTGTTTCTACACCATGATATTGACTTTCTGAGCTAGGTTTTTTCTTGCTGGGAAAGTTACTTTTCAGTTTTAAACCTTCAATTTTCATTAAATTGCAATAACCCACCAATTGGCTAACTTTTCTACATAGTCTGATCCAATCTGAAGAAATATGCGGTGGGTTCACCTGATCTCCGTCGTACACAAATATATTTTAACATTAAATTGATTTATTATAGTCACTTGAAGTCTCGTTTAAATAATAAAACGAGACGAGATTTGAATAAATATCTTAAATTCGAGTTATATTCTCGTCTCTTTAATGATTTTATTGATATATTTGTTGGTTCCAATATTCAATACAAAAATTGAAGAGGCACGCGTAGGGCTAAAAAATTATACACACAAGTCTAGTTGGATGCCATGCCTGCCAATAGAAAGAAAAATATACAAGTCTGAAAGCAACTCGAGGGTACCATGCAGCACGGGGCTACATATCCTAGTCTTGTTTCTTCAACATAATTAACAGTCGGCGGTCATATAATGAACTATATTTTCATATGACAGAAGATCAACAGAAAGTTTGTATCGCTTGTAATTTATGTACTTATATTTCATAGGAACAAGACAAGATCCCCTTTGGAGGAGAAATATTGTTATAATTGTAACATTCAAACAAAATCTGATTAATTTATCAATTTATAATTTTTTTATAAAATTGTACTTATTTTTTGCTTCTCGAAGTGACTTTGAAAGATACCTAAACAGTGAAACTATATATGATTTAAATCATGTTCATGTATCTAAACATGTATATTTATGTGAAGATCTTTTTGGTTCATCTGTCGATTCTTGTTGATTGTTTAAAGTTGGGACAATATTTCATTTTCTTAATTAAATCTAAGGATTGGTTATACATATATATAAAATAAATTTTTTATAAATTAATGCTCAATAAATTAATAACTTCAATTATATAATATTTTTAATCGACCTCAATCAACGTGATAAATTAATAATTTGTTAAATTTATAAGATAATATATTTTTAAAAAAACACATAGATTTTATTTGATATATAAATTAATAATCTTTTCATACGCTAAAATTATATATATACATACTCAATTAGAAAGTTTTTGTAAAATATAATTCTAATGTTATTTATTTATTTCTGAAATTGATGTCTCTTTAGACCTCATTTTTAATTTTTCATAATGCATTAAGAAACTTTAGTATAGTGTTTTCGTATTATAAGAAAAAATTATACAATTTGATTATTACTTTGAATGCATTTTTGCACGAGACGGATTATAGTACAGAATTATCATCTTCAACTTCATTTTTTGTATCATTGTTTACGACGTTCTCAATAATTTGCTCGTTACGAATAATAATAATTCGTAATTCGATAATTAGATAATGTTCATATAATCATAATACATAATACATACATTAAGTTCAATATTTTGAAAAAAAAAATAAAGAATACATTGATAAATTATTTTCTATTAATTAATATATATAAATTAATAAATAATTAATTTAGCGATTAAATAATATATTGAGTAATTAATAAATCTTCATGATCCAAAGGTATTAATTTATAAAGATTTTATTGTATATATATAATTAATTCAATACTTTATTAATTTTTGGTAATTTAACTCCTAGCTTTCATTAATGTCACCAATTGGAGTATCTATACGCTTGTTTAAAAAATATATATGCTGTAAAATTAGTGTGCCTTTATATGGACATGATATTTTAAAAAACTTTAAATTATTTATAACAATGTTTTTATTAAATTTAATCAAATTTAAGTATTTTTATTTTAGTCAAATAAATTATTATAACTAATGATTGATTAATTATATATAGTTAAAATGACATTTGTCATTTTTGTACTCACTTTATACCAACATGACGTGTTGACTTGTTATAGTACAGGATGAGATTGTCACATGATCACATTATCATATCACATCACAATCCATTAGAATAAGTCACGTAACATAAAATAGACATATATCATTTTAATTAATATCATTTAGTCAATCATTAATTATAAAAATTTATTTAATTTAAAATAAAAATATATTAATTTAATTAAATGTAATAAAAAAATTTATTCAAACTTTTCTATCAATTTTGTTTAAATATTATATCTATATAAAATTACTTAGTTTACAACGCCAATAGGTATATATTTTTTAAATCACTGCATAGATACCCAAATTTGATGACAATGAAAGCTAGGAGTTTAATCACCAGAAATTAATGATTTCAAATTTTCAAACCACAGGGGACCCCTCTTTAGATTCATCACATCTTCGAATGTCAGTGCCGAATCCGGGTGATTCCAAATGTCATGCAAATGCGTTAATTAATTTA